TACTTTATTAATAATACTTTGATTAAGGTATTTCCCTTCGAAACAAATCAATTTTGGAGACGAAAAACGGCAGGAATTAAGTTTAACACCTATTACTTAAAAATATCTTTTAGAAAAGATTAAATTGAAGTCTATTTAAACAGTAATATAGGATAACAGGAAATCGAACTAATACTCTTAATTAATGATTCATGATTATATACATGTATATTATTTTTTTTATATAATTTATACATCTAATTAACATTATTAGTATGTACGTGATAATGTTTGAAGAATATTCATATGATACTTTTTTTGTACGTACACGATTCCAAGAAAATGTTTTTGTTTGTGGCTACATTCTTGTTGTATCTGTACATTCCGGTGTAATCTGATGGCCGAGATCTTTAAACGCTATTTCCCGACGAGATTTGTAATACACGGTTCTTTACTATCAGACAAAGCGTCAGTTGTCGATTGAAATCGGGGTTAAAGGTTACAAGTGGACTTTACTAATGGAATGAAGTGGAGTGGAGTGGAGTAAGGAAAAAGAGTGGTTTTCCTTACGTGATAAATTTTACGTGTCAACGACGTTCCTCTACCGGGAGGTTTCTGGGGACCAACGCAATGCGAGCCCTTTGTGGGAGGGCTTTGAACCGTTGAAGATTTGTAAAAGGGATACGTGCACTACTGGGATACTTTATATCAAAGGGGAATTGTTTTGAACTTATTCTTGCGTAGTTTTAATTATATATTATTATGTCAACAAAAAACGTAATATGACTTTATTATTATAAATTTGTTCTAATTTTTAAGCTTATACAATTTTTAAAATCTAATTATCAAAAATTTTACACTGTACTTACATCTTTCGCGAAGTATAATATGAATTAGATAAGTAAGAAACAATTATATGCAATATGTTGCAGTTTTTCGTAATTATTTGGATCTCATTTTTATGATCACTAAAAAATTATAATTTTTTTTCAAGGATAATTTTTTTCAAGCCTTGATCATTCGATCAATCCTTTCTCCATTTCTGCGTAATCGTGCATAAGAGAAGTAGCTTTTATCTCTATCTCTCTTTTCTCTTTCCCTCTTTTGATCAAAGAAAACTGGAGCAAACAGCTCACGAAGCTACCTTGAAATTTCGAAGTTGTTTCGTTGGTTGTTTTGCATGAAACATTTGGCCTAATTGATAAGCGTATTTAAATATCCTACAGTATTTTGCTTTTGTTATTTATTTTTCTTTTTTTGGAACATATAACAATTTTTACTTTGAGAAAAGGGATGGAAAGAGGAGGGAGTGAGAAAAAACCAACAAGAGCAATATTTCTAGCAGGATAGGATGCTTTTTTGTCATCATCATCATCGCGGAATGAGTGAAACGAAGAAAGTAAGTCATCGTATTGCTTCTGGGATACTACTCTTTGCTTTTCCTTCTTTTTCTTTTGTTTTTTTTTGCGGCTTGGTGAATCACTCGTTTCTCGATTGCAGAGATTCTCAGTCTCTTTACTTTCTCATCTTCATCGCGACTCCTTTTTTTTCTCTCTCAACAGCCGCGGCTGAGATACTTCTTTCCTTTTCGCGTCTGTTATAACCAGTTTGTCTTACAATTCCATCTCGTATTCTTTCTTTTTGCTCATAACTAGGATACATTATGTTGTTCGATCATCAACAAGACGAGGAGAAAAAGATTCTTAGAAGATTCTTTCTCGCGTGCGCGCGTTCAATCGTGCAATCGAGAAGTGCTGGTCATTACTGGACTAAAGTTGATTTACCTGTTCGAGGAAAGGGTCCTTTTCCCCTTTCCGATCTGAGTCACTGAAAACGATTGGTGACGCATTGAGTTGCTGGCCGTGACGAAACGTTATTGCAATGTAAATTGCATAATGTTGCGTTCGCGCGTGCATACAAACAATGTATCACCTGCGTCGGATATGATTCAAGGAATCAGAGTTTCCCACAAGTTTCACTTTGCCATATCTATTGAAATCTTGATCTTCGGTTATTAACATACTTTCGAATCCACAATAAATGTTCGAACCTTGATTTATCGATTTAACATTCAGTGAGAGAATTAATCAAAGTATATTGACGTCCTTGGGATCTGAAGTCTTCTGTATGATAGAGTTTCCTTACTTATTAATTTTCTTACTTATATATTTATTAACTTAGTTACAACGTAACTCGACGAATAACAATTTATTAAACACACGTTCATGTACACGCGCATACAGTGTTGTTAAAGTAATTACTATCGTCTAGTCATGTATTTCTCATGGTATCTCCTCAATTAGTTAGAAATAGAATGTCTTACGGTTTCTGCGTGTCTGTCGAGTTCTCTTTCCGGAATGGGTGAGCCTTGCGAGTTGTCCGAGTTGTCTCGTAGAAGAAGATCCAGCTCAAGGAGCGATCACTGACCGTCCTCACTGACTCGACAACCTCGCACACCCACCCACCCACTTTCCGCTTCACCGTGTGACGTCAGAGAGCGAGCCGCGGAACCCGTCTTTGTTCCCACAAGCGTTTCGCGAACCGGTTTTGCGGTTCATGATGCCGCGTAGTGTTCCTGTCAGCTGGTCGGACCGTTTAATCGGGGAATTCTCCGCCTATTTTAAGGGTTCGGCGGCCGTGTCCTCAGGAGTCAGTCCTTTCCAAGAAGCGTTCATTCATCCTTTCTTCCTAAATAAGGAAGACGGGAAGGACGGGAGCATAGAATCTTGCATAACGCATAAGAAAATAAATTAATGAAAGTCCTTCATTTCCTCCTTTTCCGTGAAATAAGAGACTCTGATTGGTTGACTTTTTATGCTTTAAGCATTATGCGTTGTGCAAAGATCTGTGCTTCGGCCTTAACGCTTGTAAATGACAGTGATAACACTGCCATGCATATGATAAGCGTATCGAAATTTATAACTGCAGCACATTTACCACATTCTTATCTCAACAGGATACATGCATGTAAATAAATATATATGTAGTATATCTATATGTATATACACGTAGTATATCTATATATATATACACAAACCGCAGGATGAGTTCAGCGAACTTTAAATGGATTATTTAACCGAAAATGGAGTTAGTTTCTAAATAACGTGTAGATCCGTGAATGTTAAATAAAGTTCTCGCCAAATAAAAATCTGTTACATATAATGGTGCCATTTCATGAGACACTGGAAAATAGCGTCAGCATAATCACGTGCTCTTAACTTGACACTGAAAGTTGGATTTATTCAAAATTGATGCTAGACAGTGAAAATGTATAAAAAAGAAT